AAAATATTAATGGGGGAGGAAAAGGGGGGGGGGGGGGGAGGGATGGGACGCTGGAAGGAGGTGTAGATCATTCTAACTAAGAGGCAGCTTTACAGGCACAGATAAATATAAATACTAAGCCTCCAGCTGTCAGATTCTTGCAGAATGTGAGAAGAACATGCGCATTTAACTATGCACCGCTAATGATCAGGCTTCAGTGTGTTTATCACAACCAGAAAACCATGTGAACCCATTTATGGTGTTCATCATTTCATAATGGGAAATGTAACAGACAACAGTAGAGAAGCAAAATGCATAAATACCAATTAAAGCAACCTGATAGTTTATCATAAGAACCTTTAATTAAAAGGAATGAGATCTGGAGTATGTTACCAGGCTACTCACACAGGCGTTTTGAGATTTAGAACAAGTTACTATGTTTAATCATGTTACGTTTACTCTGGCTTCTCAGCTGTTCTGTTTTTTTTTTTAATGTTGGAATTCATGTCTGTTAGTCTAAAGAGAAGCAAATCATAACCAAGACATTTGAGATTTGTTTTTAATTGCTGCATAAGCATTTACGCCACAAATCATCCACATTAAGCTGTAATTCCAAAAGAGACAGGAAGCATCCAAATGAACTGACTGGGATACAGTAAATATTTAAATCAGCAGTCTTTTTGCAGGTTACATTGTTACGCCAGTACATTACGATAAGTAACTGTCTTCATGAGTCATTTGAATCAGTTACAGATTCTTTCACACTTGCTAATTCATTAAGGAACAAAACAAGGGACAGTGTTTATGAGAATGTCGATGAATCATTATCTTAATGGATTTGTTAAAAAAACTGATTAATTACGGAACACACCACCACTAAACGCGTGGCGGTTGATTCTCTTGTTGCTTTGTTTGGAACTTTTTTTGTTGGCTAAGCTAAAGACAAAATAACTCCAATTTACTGTTGCATAAAAGCAATATCATAGTAGTAATAGTGCCATTTCCCCCCAAATATCAAGCATGGCTGTGTAGGATATCAGACCGAATCAGACAATCTAAGATTTGGTCAAAACCGGATCTGCCGTAAGACAGTGATTCTGTCCTAATTCCCTTGCATATTAATGGTGGAGTTCCCTTTAAAATCTTAAATGATTCCCTTTGAGCTAAATTATTGACCTGTTTCCCTTACAGCTGTGATAACCTGCAACACAACAGCAACTTGTAGGTGATGGTAACAAATTAGATTAGGCTTTTGAAAATTATCTTTGTATTTCTTATGTCTTAACTGAACAGTAAACAATATTTGGAGAGTGTGAATTATAGAACAGACATCTAATTAAATAAGGCAGAAAGTGAGGCAGTGTTTGATTTAAAGTATGAAGTGGCTTATGTACCAAACTTTTAAAAGCACCCAGTGGGATC